GGTTTACAGAAGTGGTTAAATTCACGCCTCCTTTGTACAAACAACGTTACCAGTTCATCAAAGACTTAGTGGGGAAATACAAACCCAAGAAGGTTGGTATATTTTGTCTTTTTGCATTTTCCATTAAAAAAATAACATAGGAAATGCCTAGATAATCTCATGACATAGTTACCAAACAACTGTACTTTAAGAACTATTGTTAAAAGCAAATTGCTATAGGAAACATTGCTGGTGACCCTGTTTTGTTTTTCAGTGATGCATAGAATTAATGTTAACTGATGGGAAGAGGGGAAAAATATTAGAAACAAGAAAAACGCCTTACCATGGCATTCTTGAGGAGTAAGGGGCATGGCAGGACGAGGGGTACCCTGTGAGGTCTACTAACAGCAGAGAGCTAAACAAGAGAATTCAGGATTTTCACCTTCAGAACTGGGCAGTGTGCTTCAACTTTGACTTGCAGAGAGCTTGAGAGAGAAAAAAAAAGTGATGTGTGTTGCATTCCTCTACTCCTTAAGCTCGTAACAAAAGGTATCTATTAGATATTTGATGTTGTGATCAGAATGTCCTCAGCCACTTCAACATTAGATTGGGACTATGAAGGTGTCCTTATGTGGATCCTTTGCTACCTACCTGGCTGCTAGTGAGCCTATTCTAAATATTTTGCATGGCAATGAAAAGCAGTGGTCAGTGTATGCCTACAGCAAATTCATAATTCCTATAGCTTTAACAGTCAAAATCACACTTCAAGTTATTTTAGGTAATATGCATTCATGTGGGAATTCTTCTTTGGAGTCAGTAGAATGTTCTACGTTTACTTCATTATATGTGTAATAACAAAAGGTCAACCCCTTCAGAATATCTTGTAGGACCTTTATATTATTAGGATTTAAAAGTAATTTTCAGTCATGTATTTTGTTGCCTGGAACTGCATGGTTTAGTTACAATTTTTTTTGGCCATAAAAATGTTACTTTGCTAAAAATATAGAATATATTTTATGAAAGTCTGAAATTACTTAAAGCATTAACATTGTTACACATTTAAAATTTGCAGGTAGCAGATTTGGGCTGTGCTGACTGTACTCTTCTCTGGATGCTAAAATTCTGCAGTTGCATTGAAGTGTTAGCTGGGTTAGATATCTGTGAGAATGTGATGAAAGAGAAAATGTAAGCTCTTGTATTATTGTGTTTATTTAAGGCTTGACCTAGTGGAATGTGACATCGTTTCTTTTCACGAATTTCTAAACAAGGGTAAATGCAGAAAATAGCAGCTCTGCAAATGCAGAGCTATCTCTTGGGGGCTGACTTGCTGCACTATGAGCGGTGTCAGATTTATTAGGGAGGCTGTGGGCTGCCCTTGCCTATACCATTGCCTACTGCAGCAAAGCTCTAGGCCATGGTATGGCTCAGCAGCTCAGAACATATGGCATATACACTGAGTTTGAAGAGAAGACAAAACATTATATATGGCTGGTATTATTAGTTCTGTTTATGCTCATAGGTGATGTTAATTTGGGGTCCAAATCTGATTTTTGTAAAATGTGTATGTAACAATCCTTTGACAACCATGGCGTGGACTTCATTCTTGTTTTCCTTTTTAGAATGGTAAGGTTAACTCAGTGTGAGAGGAGGCTCTAAAATTTGAGATTTTTATATTCTTTTGATCCTGACGCAGTTTGGTGAGGAATGCCAAAGTTTCTCTTTAAAAATGATTAGCATGCATTTAATTAACTTGTAGGATATAGCGCAAACAGCTATCCCAGAACCTTTCTCAACAATGAAGAAAATTGAACTTTTGCTGTATTAAATGTTCTTATGTTTTATTTATCTGATACCATATATCAGAAAAAAAACACATACATTTCAGTTCTCATTTGTTTTTTATTCGGAAAACTAAAATAAGATTTTGGAGAATAAAAATTAGATTAATGTGCTTGCCTAATAACTTCCAAAAAACTTCATAAAACATGTCTAAATGAGTTTCACTGCATTTCTAGTAGTTCAGCTACTATCAGAATTTACAGCATCCTCTCAGTTCAAAGAGGGAGAATATGGTGTGTCTTGGTTTGTTTTGTTTTTCAAACACAAAGGACAACTGGTGGATTAACTTCTCTGCTCTTTGTGTCCCATTGTAGATACTCATAAAAAGAATTTGCTTATTTGCAGTATTTTTTTTTCTTTTAAAAGAATAAACGCTTAGGGTATTTTACGAAGTATCAAAGTAGGCCATGTGCTAGTACAGTTGATACAGTTATACAGTTGACTAGCACAGTTCCTTGATGCCGCTTTTTTATACTTCTGCAGGCATCGGTTGTATCCTCTTCCTGGTGACTATTTGCAACCAGCTGAACGATCTCTAACTGTTACCTTGCACCATGGCTCCGTTGCTCATAAAGATCCCTGCATGCTCGGTTTTGACTTGATAACATGCATTGAATTGTGAGTATCAGGCCAGTATACTCCATCTTCCTTTAGCATTTGCTTATGACTGTTTCCAAGATCAGAATTCCAGACTTCTTGCTGTACTTTTTTTTTCCTTTGGCATGGTACTTAAGTGTTGTGTCACCAAGTTACAAGGACTAAATTCTGGAATGTAAGGCCCTAAGTCTATACAAACCTGATTGTCTCTTTGAGGCAGAATGGTAGCAGAGGGTGGCTCCTTCAAATTTTGCTCAAATTAATTGCATTAAGAAATTTTAGCAATGCTAGTTCATGGAGGAAAAAAGGATATGCATGAAAGAACAAAATGCAGGAGAGACTATTCTCGGGAAAAAAAGAATCCTGCTAGTGCTAATATTGCAGACCTAGGCTGAAAATTCCAAGCTACAGATAGGGTTTGGGATTATTGGTTTGTTTACTGTTGTTTTGTATTTTGAATAGTTATCATGAAGATGAAAAAAAAAACTCTATTAAGGTGTTTTTTTTTTTTCATGCAAAAACTTATGCTTTAAAGAATAGAGCATCTGGAAGAATCAGAACTGGAAAAGTTTCCTGAAGTGGTGTTTGGTTTCATGGCTCCAGCAATGGTTGTGATAAGTACTCCAAATTCAGAATTTAACCCGTTGCTTCCAGGAGTGACATCTTTCAGACACCCAGACCACAAATTTGAATGGAACCAAGCAGAATTTCAAAGCTGGTGAGTTCACTGAACATCATATGCTGACAGTTTTGAATGTTAAATAATGTGAGAAAGACATAGATATAATGTCAGTATGGTTTCTCTGTGTCTTTGTGAAGTTTCAGAACTACTGATTTAGTTGAACCTTTTTTTGCTACTACAGTATAAATAATTAAGTATATTCTGTGGAGGTTGCACTTTATGATGTTTTTAGGTTGGCTTGCTTTTACTGTAATTACTCTGCAAAAATATATAAAGGCTTTGTTTTCTCTGTTTATGCATATTTATTAGCACTTTTAATCACTTATATAGTAGAAGTATAAAGTATGAAGTAAGCCTTTTAACATAATGTACTCCAATAGAAATGCTTCTTAAGCTACTCAAAACTGTGCTCGCTCTGTTACTCTGGACTTGTGTATAAGAATATGCAAGCAAATTCATCAAGTATTCATAGCAGAGCATGTGGGAAAAAATGATGTTTTAGTGGATCAAGCACAACAAAACAGTTCACGCACAACCTATGAACATGACCGAATTTGCACAAGATATGTATGGATTAGAATTACTCAGATCCCTCAAGGAAGGATATTTTGGGAGCTTTAAGGATGAGAATTTGTGTTGTGAAGTATGTGTATTGCAGTATTCTCTTAAAAAAAGTAAGAAACAAATTCAATTGGTACGTCTTCAAGGAGAACACAGCGGGTAGGTAGAGCCATTTTAGTTCCCTGCCTCCTGGTCCTGTCACTCATTTTGTACTTGTTGTACAGTACTACAAGATCATTTTTCATCTAGATGTCATGTGCATTGTTGTAACTGTGAGCTGGTAGACTTTGTTCTTTCTACCTTTAGAACAAACCTCACTTTTTTTTCCCCCTCCTCTGTGAATAGCCTCCTGTGGCTTTTGAGAGGGGGGGGTGTGTTTTAGGGGTTCATCTTAAGTAGTTTTGTGTTCTAAAACTGCTAGTTTCTTGTACACGGTTGATTTTGGAATGTTTTTAAGACAGTGAGTAAGCAACTGAGGATATGCATATTCTCTCATTATTCTCTCATAATATGCATATTCTCTCATAATTCTCTCATTATTTAGAAATAATAAAGTAAGCAACTGAGGATATGCATATTCTGTATAGATATTTTAGAAATAATAATTTTTGTTACTGAAGTTATTAATATTAAATTATTCAGAGCATGATAGGCATATGATTGCAGCTGTGATTCAGCAAAAATTTTGACATTGCTTATCTTCAAGCATGTGAGTAATACTTTTAAAGAAACTGCTTGAGCATTCACAGCATCAGGATCTTGCATCTCTGAGAGAGTGAGTGTTTATCGCATTAAAGGTGAGTGTTTAGTATAATCAGATTATGTTGTTTTTCTCAGGGCACTACATATTGCTAGATGCTACAATTACTCAGTGGAATTCACTGGCGTAGGGCCCCCACCGATGGGAATGGAAGATGTTGGGTTTTGTACCCAAATAGGGGTGTTTGTAAGAAAATATTCCCAAACAGGTGAAACTGCTCATTTTGAGAAACCCACCAAAGCAGCTTACAAAACTGTAAGTATTGCTTCTGTTTTTTAGGAGGATGGAAAAAAAATGTGCCTGTAAAGTGTTCTTACTGTTATTGCAATCTATTATTATTACTGGGTCTGAGCTTTGCAACATGCGGTCCATGTGCCCTAATTATATACAGACCTTTAGCTTTTAGATTATTACCTAAATAGTAATATGTATAAACATTCATATTTTAACATGCTATTACTACCAGAATGAAAATTTTCCCTTTCTCAAGATATAGAGTGACACTGAAACATAGAATCATTCCTGTAATCATTCTTTTCTATCATGTAGCTCTTAAAGTCATTAGCACTTGATACAGATGGTTTCAGATGCATTAAAATGAAGTCATTTAAAAAAAAAAAA